GTTTCAAGCCACCTAGTAAGCACTAAGCCCATTAGTCTTCAGTTTCCCAGCCCTGCACTCCCAATGCACTGATTTATAATATCTCTTTCCACGCTTCACATAATAACAGCAGTTGGGCCTCTGCAGGCCCCTCCACTTATCACCTGTTTTTCAACTCCAAATTCAATTTTCCCCGAATCCCAGCAAAGTGTTAAGGAGTAGGGTGGCTGGCTGCAGGCCCCTGGGGGCAGAAGCTGGCAGTCACTGAGAGGGCTCTGGGAAAGGACCCACACTTCTGCCCCCACCACTGTCTACACCAGGAAGCCAAGGAAGCCAAGAAAATCGAGATGGAATTCTGAACTTTCCAGAAGATGAGCATTTTTAATTTAGATACTATTTTTTTGTGGTCCATGACGTGTGATGCCTAAGGCCTTGCCTCACCTTCCCCTCATCATCTTCCTAAGAACAAAATCAAATTCGTCCCTCCTGGTGGCTACTTTATTTCACGAGCTCATCTTGTTGAACCATTTTTCTTTGTCTTTTTTTCATCTAATTCTGTGTTTCTCAACCTTTTTCTCAAACGTGACTACTCATTTAATAAATATAGAAAAACTCCTCACTTTCTTGCTTAATGTTGTTTTAACTTTCACAAATATTATAAATACCAAATTCATCTCATGACTAACAGCCAGCTTATTTAGAATATAGGTTGTGCTTGTTTTCAAATGACATTCCCTCCAACCAAAATATCTTCCCTGCCACCTGTTTTGGAGATTGCAAATGCCACCTCACCTCTAGCAAGGGGGAGGGACTCTCCCACTGAGAATCGCTGCTCCTGCTCAGTTATGAGCCCTGGGGCCGACTCAACTGCCCTACCTGCCTGCCAGCTCTCCTGAGCTCCTTAGCAGCTCAGGAGAATTTCTCAGTGTGTCCGAAGAACCCGGCTGCTCTCTCCTGGCTCCAGGCCTGCATCTTTGACCCCTGGTGGGCAGTCCCCCTCAGCTTCATTCACACTCTCCAAACTTGAACTCAGCTCCTCCCCTTGAGCCAGCTCTTTGCCTTGACTTCTCAGCTTCCCTTCCCACCACATTATTGTCCCAGGAACCCAAGGGTGACGTCAAGGATACTTTTTTTTTGGTGAGGAAGATTAGCCCTGAGCTAACATCTGTTGCCAATCCTTCTCTTTTTGCTGAGGAAGATTGGCACTGAGCTAGCATCTGTGCTCATCTTCCTCTATTTTATGTGGGACGCCTGACACAGCATGGCTTGATAAGCGGTGCATAGGTCCACACCCGGGATCCGAACCTGTGAACCCCAGGCTGCTGAAGCGGAGCACGTGTACTTAACTGCTATACCACTAGGCCGGCCCTCAAGGATGCTTTTGATGTCCCTCCCTCCTTTGACCCCCGAATAAACAAACCTTTCAGCCTTGTAGGGTCTTTTAGTAGAGTCCTTCTGTAAATATCTCTGTCCTCCATCCCTTCCCTCCTGGCAGCACTGCTGGTGGCTGGATTTGGTTTCCATCACGTGCTGCCAGGGTTCTTGTAAGAGCCTCCTCCTGTCACGTCTCTTCTGAGCCAAGTTCATCCTGCCCACGCCACCAGCCCGTCACTCTTTCGTTTAATATATCTCGACTATATATTGTATACTAGGCACTGCATTCTGTACTAGAGAGCCTACAAAATGGAGAGTTAGCATTCCCCGCCGAGAGTGCGTACGGGACACCGGACTCATTTTCCTAAATGCTACTTTGATCCTCTCTCTTGTCTGCTCAAAACCCTCCAGAGGACTCTGTTCTGCCCCCTGCTGTATTTCCAGCTCTTTAGACAAGCGTGTGGCCCAGAGCAAGAACTCGGCCCCTGTTTGTTGAATAAATCGAATGGATGGAATGGATGTCTGTGGCTGCCAGTGGGGGGCCTGGGCTTGGTGTTCTGCGGGGCCTGGCGGAGCGAAAAGAACTTGGGCTTGAGGGTCAGACAGACCTGAGCTGATGTTTCAAGGACTGTGCTTTCTAGCTCTGTGAGCTCAGACAAGTTACTTAACTGCTCTGAGCTTTGTTTTTTTTATTCTTCAATGAGATACTCAAAACTACTTTGCAGTGTGGTTATAAGGATTAAGAGGTGATTATACATAAAACATGTGGCATAATACTTGGTGGCCCATAGTAGGTAGTCAAATATGGTGGTATATAAGGACTTGAATATATAGGGGTGTGTGTGTGTGTGTGTGAGAGAGAGAGAGGGAGACAGAAGTAAATGGAATCCTGTATGTGCCCAGTGAGATTCCAAGCATATAATAGGTGTTAACAAATCTCACTTCGCTTGACCTTTATCCATCCTTTACAAACATTGTCTTCCTGTGGACTGGCTTCTTACCCACAGGCTTGACAAACACAGCATGGTTTTCCCCTCATGTCCCTCCCTTCTCCTTCCATCTTAGATGTTCTCATAAAACAAACCTCCGTGAAGAAGGGCAAACTAGGAAAACAAACAAAATTGCTTATTAGGTGGAAGAAAATGCACACAACAGATTTTAAATGTGACCATTCAAACACTAGCTCTTCCTGAACTCATCAAGTACTGTTTTGTTACATTGCACTTCATCTACATGGCATGACGGTCAGACAAAGCTCGTCTATTTCTGTAGTGTGGTGGTCTGTTCTCACAGTGTGGTCCCCAGGCCAGCAGCCTCAGTGTCACCTGCGAACTTGTTAGAAATGTAGACTCTTGGGCTGACCCCAGACCTACTGAATCAGAAACTCCAGCCTCGGGCCTGGCAATCTGCATTTTTGCCGGCCCTCCAGTTGATTCTGATGCAGGCTAAAGTTTGAGAATCACTGGTGTAATATGATGAAAATACAATAAGCATTAATTTAGCACAAATTAGCATAAATCAAGCACAAATTAGCATATTCTCAGTTTTATATGCTTTAACTCTTTGACTCTTTAGTCATGAGTTTACTCTACGTGTTTGTGTCATTGAAATTTGGTTCTTTTGGGGCCTGGCCCTCGGGCAGGCCTCTGTTGGCTGCATACTCACATTCCTGAGGCTGCCCCTCTGTTCCTCTTGAGCCCCACCAGTCACATTTCTTCCTCCTAGTGTTTGTCTGTGCTCATCTCCTTGTCTAGAAACCCTCCGTTCATCTCTCTGTCTATCCAAGTCTTGCCTATCTTTCAAGCTCCAGATCAAGTCTCTTTGATGCCCCCCCCATCTCTGACTTTCCGTGACCCCTCCTTCCTCTGAGTTACATGACATATTTCTCTGCTCTGAGCTTTTTGAGAGGTGAGAATTTCTCCGATTCATCTCTGTACCCCCCTTGGTGACTTGAGAGGGCTTTGCTGTGACAAGCACTCATGAATATTGGATCATTTGGACAAGGTCACTGATGGTGGTAAATCCTGCCTTGGCGAATATCGCCCACATCTGTACACAGAGTAGTTGTACCAGCATACTTGACACAAGAGGCCTGGTCAGGCAGGTTTGCTGGGCCATCTACTGGCAGCTTCTTAATCCAAACTCATCAGAAATTCCACTCTAGGGCGCCCACCTGAGTGCTACAAGCTACATGGAGTATATTCAGAGGAATATACTCAGGATGGTGAGAGGGCTTAGAACCATGCTAAATAAAGAACCAGGAGTGAGAAATCGCACATCAGTCACAAAGAGCTAAAGGTCCACCAGGTGGCAGAAGGATTGGATTTATCCTCTACAGGACCCCATGGGTAGAATTAGAAAGTAAACTAACTAAAGGGCAACCTCTCTGACTTAAACTTGATAACATATTCCCAGTGTCTAGTCTCAGTGCCCGTCTGGCACAGAGTAGGTGCTCAATAAATATTTGTTGAATGAATGAAAGACTAAATGAAAGCAACAGGCAGAAATAACATGGAGGTAGATTTGTTTCTGCATAAAGAACTTTCTAACAATCTCCTACGTTAAAAGCCCCTTAAGGCAGAGCTAGCTGCTCTTTATCTCTTCATTCCAGTGCCTTGTAAAATGCCTGGGAAACTGTGAGCCACGGAGGCCAAGTTGGCCAGTGATGGGATGGGCCATCCTGGAAAGTGGTGGACTGGACAACGAGTGGGAGGGAGGTCATCAGAAGGGGTTTAATTCCAGAGAGTCCTAGACTATAGGACTTTGAGACCCCTTTTGGCTTGGAGATTCCATGTTTTAGAGCCAGCTAAAACATGGACTGCTGCCTCTAGGGCCATCCTGGTGAATTCACTCGTCTTAGGAATGGGGTCAAAGTAGCGTCTTCTTTAGCATAGCCTGGAAGCTGGCTGGCTGCCCTTTTCCAGAGATTTTTGAGTGACTGGCCTGTTTGTTTTAGGAAGTGAGGAGGCCATAAAGATTCTGATCCTCTGAGCGTGTCTGAAGATTAAGGAAATTTAAATTTTGTTCTAGAGTCTCCTAAGTAACGGACAACCAAGGTAGGTGCATTTCAAAGAAATGCAAGAAATTTCAAAAGATGAAAAATCTAGGTTCTTAAGCGTGTATCTTCTTAAACAACGTGAGGAGAGACTCAGTTGGTGAGAGGATCGGTGTGTAACAAGGGAAGGTGCTGGAAAGGAGGGGGAAGCCCTGAGAAGAGACACCATAATAGTACTAATCACTGCCTGCCTTAATTAGCCTATAGACTCCAATCTCAGGAACATCATTTTCTTTCTTGGGAATCACAAATAACCCAGTTTCATTCACAAGTTTTTTTCCCACTTCCAAAATTGCTTATCTGTTTCACACCCGAGCAGAAAAAGTTTTAATTGCCAAAACCATGTTGATATGTTGTATTTTCACTTTATTTTTTTTTTTTTTTGCTGAGGAAGATTTGCCCTGAGCTGATGTCTGTGCCAATCTTCCTCTATTTTGTACGTGGGTCACTGCCACAGCATGGCTGATGAGTGGTGTAAGTCCACACCTGGGATCCGAAACTGCGAACCCAGGCTGCCAAAGTGGAGTGCGCCAAACCCAACCACTAAGCCACAGGGCCGGCCCTGTATTTTCATTTTAATTCAGTTCAAAATACTTTAATTTCTCATTTTACTTCTTCTTTGACCCATGAGTTATTGAAAAGTGTGTTATTCAGTTTTCAAACACCAACATCAATTTGGAATTTAGGTTTCTCTTGTGCTGTTCTGGCTTAGTGTTTCCCGCTAATAGTTATACAAGAAACTTCTATCTTCTTTCTGTTACTTTCCTTCAAAAGGAACTTGGATATTTATTTTTCTTCGTGTTTGAGGAGCATCAGCTTCCAGGGACAGATCTCTAAATTTGACTCACCTTTAACTGAAGATTATATACGGGATGGTCCTGGCATTCAAGGCTTCCCACAACCGGGACTAAACATAACTTTCCAGCACTGGCATTTTTGTCTTCATTGTAAGTGCCAACACAGCTAGGTTATTTTCTATCTCCCAAAAATGTTTGATTCTGTTCATTTTGTTCTCTATGAGAGATGCTCTCTTCCCCAACCCCTCCTGGAAACCATCATTCAACACATTTTAAATGTTCCCTATTCCATAAAGACTTTTTCTGATCTCTCAGTATGCTTTCTTCTACTTAAAATCTTCACAGCTCTTTTATTTTTTTAATTTTTAAGTACTGCCTCTTATTGCCTTTGTAATGTCAAGGTCATTCAATATCTTATCCCTCTTATTAAAATCTAACCCCTTCCTGCCAAGCGGGCCAAGCGGTGGCCCACACTGGGCCCTCCAGATACATCTGCTGAAACAAACGAATTGTGATTTCTCCCTTTCCTCAGTGCGCCTGATTGATTAATATTTTAGACTTTGCCCTGATGGGAACATTCCTAGGTAGGAAAAGGAGACTGGAGCGAGAGAGCCTTTGAGGAAATTTTAGGAGCCTCTGGTTCTTGATTATTTCATAGACATAAGCTGACGAGGGGAAAGAATTCATAGCCACAGAATGTGGGCAGCTTGAAGAAGAGCTTGTTTTCTCGTTTTCTAGGATCCTGCAGTGAAGGGAAGCATCCTGTGTGGGTTAAGGCCTCTTTCAGGAGCTCAGTAACTATTTATAGGAGACAAAATCACTGACTAATAGAGTGATTGTATGAGAATCAACATAAATATTAATGAGGAAAATTCCAGTTTTCTTGCACCACCACTCACTACAGGCCTATATAAGGTCTAGAGGAGAAGGAAGGTTTCAGCCTCAAGTGAACCCAACCATGAGCAAAGCAAGAGTCTGGTGTTTTAGCACCATGACTTCTAGTTGCTGCTGTTCTCTCCTCAGTGGGGAGGTTTCAGAGGCCAAGGCTGCCCGCCCGTGCCTTTCGGCCACCTTGGCACACGCCAACTGTGTCTGTGTGGGGACGACCCCTCTGGGCCAATCCAGCCTCTGTCTGCCCCACAGCTGCAGCACTGCTTGCCCCTTGTCAACGACCTGCAACATTCCTGGCAACAGTGGCATCTGTGGGACCTGTGGCGAAGGCACCCTGAATAGCCACGAGAAGGTGACCATGCAGTTCCTGAATGACCGCTTGGCCAACAACCTGGAGAAGGTGCACCAGCTGGAGTGGGGCAATGCAGAGCTGGAGACCAAGATCCTAGAGTCAAGCAAATGCCATGAGTCCAACGTGTGCCTGGACTACCAGAGCTACTTCCGGACCATCGAGGAGCTCCAGAAGAAGGTGAGGGCTGTGGTGCTCCAGATCAGGGGTTGGCAAACTGCGGCCCGAGGGCCAAACCCAGCCTACTGCCTGATTTTGTAAACAAAGTTTTACTGGTGCACGGCCATGCTCACTCACTGACGTATTGTCTATGGCTGATTTTGTGCTACAATGGCAGAGTGGAGTAGTTGTCACAGAGACTCAGGGTGTGCAAAGCCTAAAATATTCACTGTCTGGCCCTCTATGGAAAATGATTACTGATACTTGCACTAAATTTTCAGGACCTGGATTGGCAGTTCCACAGCCACAGTTGAAATGTTTTTTTGATTGTGGGAAGAGAATCTCTTGAGTGGAGGTAAATGGGAATGTGTAAAGGATGAGGCGTAGGATTTGACTCTCCAGGATTCTGAGTTTGTGTTTACTTAGTTTCAGTACTTAACAGTTCTTAAATTGTAGTTGCAAAAAAGTGCAACCTCACTTCTAGTGCAGTACAAGGGAGCATGTGCTAATCTCCTTTATGAGCCAGTGTATATCCATTCAGCAGCATTGGTCTTTTATGCATATTTGCTGTTCCCTTTGATTATCAATGCAAAGCTTCTTAAGAGTCTACATCTTAGTTTTGGAGACAGGAAGACAAAGAATGTCAGAATAGGGGCCATGGAAATCTGGCTAGATTCAGAGAAGAACTTCAGGGAGGTTGACCGACCAGCATAAGGAACTTCTTATTAAGAATGGATCGTGCCTTATCTAAAACTATCATAACCAACCCACTGTTCTGTGGCCTAGATTCCAGATCTTCTTGTTTATATCAGGCTGAGCATCACAGCTGGCAAAATAAAATTAAGTCTTTGTTATATGTTCAGTTTTTGCTAATACTTTCATCTCCCAGTTCTTTTGGCTCTATGCCTTCACCCTGTGCCAAGCATCCTCTTGTACATCTGCCCTCCTGCACCACACCAACATCTCTTACACATTGGGAGTTTGTGTTTTCCAAGGGGATGTTGTAGTATGAATCCCAGCCAATGGAGTGTCCTTTGAGCTGAGGCCATAGATGGCTCTGGGAATAGTGAATCCCTGAGCCTACTTTCTTTCCCCAGATCCTGTGCATCAAATCTGAGAACAACAAGCTGGTTGTGCAAACAGACAATGCCAAGCTGGCTGCAGATGACTTCAGGACCAAGTGAGTTGGGGTAGGACAGGCAGGGGGAGGAGCCAGATGCATACCCTGACTTCTTCTCTCCTGTGATGCAGTTGGCATCAGAGATGTAATTGACCAAGATCCCAAACCAACAAGGACAGCAGGAGAAATCGGAGGGCATTACGCCCAAGACGTTAAAAACATACCCCCCCTCCCCCCGCCATTGTTTAGCTTTTATAGTTTACAACATGATTTAGAATGCACCGTCCACTTGATTATGTTGTAAGAAGAACCTGGTGAGGCAGGTAGGGCAGTGATGGTATCTCCTTCACAAGGACTCCGAAGCTCGGAGTGCTGAGGTGACTTTCCAGAAGTCACATGGCTATTGAGCGGTCACACTGGAACTTGGCCCACATTTCCTACCCCGAGGTCATTTCCTACGAAACTCTGTGGCCTCAGTGAGGGCATGTTTCCATACTGCAGCTTGACCAATTTGTGAGCACTAACAATTCATGATGGAAATCATGCTCCTCAGCCTGCGATGGAGGCAGGTGAAGGTCACAGGGTTTATACTACCCGAGAAGGTCTAACCTGGGAGCAGGAAGGGGCGTTACATTTTATTGTCTTTCTTTGGGGCTCCGTGGAAGCCTCACTCCTCTAGAGCTAAAGAAAGCCATTTCCTTCTTCCCATTCTGGTAGTTTGACTTCTAATCCGAGAGAGAATCCAGGGTCCATCTCAGTAGCAGGTATGCAAGAGGAGAGTCTGCAGTGATCACACTTCGGTCTGGTCACTCTGCTGCTTCCCTTTTGGCCATCAGCCAGTGATGGCAGGTACTGGATGCGTGTCCATCCCGGTATCCTCAGTACTGGCCACTCTGCCTGGTTTGTCCTAGGTGCTTAGTGTTAAATGAGTGGGGAACACCCTGTTGCTTTCTGGGCTGTGAGCGCACTACCCAGGAAATGCCAACTCACAGTTAGACCGTGGAGGGGAGGCTAGTGGAGTTATGCTGTAAGTTGTGTCCTGGGGCCCCCTCTGCTCTCTAACCTTGACTCTTGTACCTGCCCTGGTAGGGTACCAGGTGGACCACTCGCTCTGCCAGCTTGTGGAGGCCGACATCTGTGGCCTGCGCAGGGTGCTGGACCACCTCACACTCGCCGAGTGTGACTTGGAGGCCCAGCTGGAGTCCCTGAGGAAGGAGCTGCTCTGCCTCAAGAAGAACCATGAGCAGGTGCATGGCCCTTTGTGTGACACGTGGAGACTCTCTGGGGAGGGAATTCAGGCTCCTTTGGGGGAAGAAATGAGGCTCTTCCTCCTGCTTGGGGTGAGCCTGCCCTGCTTTGTGGTTGAGCCTCACAAGCTATGAGAGTGAGCTCTGGCTTTCAGTAGGAGCTTGCTCTTCATCCATAGCCTCTGGAAACTGCTGGGCTGCTGCAGGCAGTGCCTCATCCTCAGAGGAGCACAGGGAAATCGCTGGGGAGGATGAGAAGTGGGACATGAGGCTTTGGATGGAGGGCAGTGGGGGCCCCATGAATGGGACACCCTCCTCCTATGCCCTTAGGAAGTCCACACTCTGAAGTGCCAGCTGGGGGACAAGCTCCAGATTGAGCTAGATACTGAGCCCACTGCAGACCTGGGCAGGCTGCTGGAGGAGATCTGGTACCAGTATGAGGCCATGGTGAACACCGTAATGGGGAGCAGTGGTTCCAAGCACAGTTGAGGGCAAGGCTACGGAGCAGGGAGGGAGCCTGGCTTCCATGTGGGCAGGGAGGTGATCCTGTCTCTCTGTGCACCAGTGCTTCAGTCTGAAGGCATCAGTCTACTGGACATGTCCTGCTCCGAGGAGCTGCAGTGCTGCCAGATGGAAATCCTGGAGCTGAGACGCATGGTGAACGCCCTGGAGAAGGAACTTCAGGCTCAGCACAAGCTAGTGAGTTCCTTTGTGTGCATGGAAGACTCAGCTTGGCTCCCACTCCCATGAGCACTTCCCAGGTTCAGTACATGCCTCGCTTAAATACAGACCAGGCACACAGCTTAAACCTTGACTTCTTCATCTTTGCGAGAACTTTCTCACAGATATGGATGCTGAGGGATGAACAGTAGCCCAGATGAGGGAGGTTCTGCAAACTTATCCTAAGGTCTAAAACGAAGAGCCATAGCACGTTGTTAGTTCTTCTGGCTGGAGACTGCTAACGGAGCTGTATTGTTCTCCGGGTCTGGCAATGTCTTGGGGTGCCATGGTCTTCCTGAAGAGGCTGAGGGCAGGGGGCCATGATTTTTAACCTGCTTCCCTCTTTCCCTGGTATCACAGAAGGACCATCTGCAGAACTCCCTGTGTGAAGCTGAGGCCCGCTACGGCACCGAGCTGGCCAGATACAGAGCCTGATCAGCAGCATGCAGGAGCAGCTGTCTGAGATCCGGGCTGACCTGAAGCAGCAGAACCAGGAGTACCAGGTGCTGCTGGACGCCAAGGCCTAGCTGGAGGACGAGATTGCCACATACAGAATCTTCTGGAGACTGAGGACTGCAAGTATGTACCCTGATTTTGTTTGTGTCAACGTCATATGTAAAGGCAGAGACCTCATATTAGAAACGACCTAAAAGGAGGGGGTGGCATTGCAGGCCCAATCTTTGGGGACAAACTGCTATCCGGTAAGCCTGGTGGGCTGCCTGGACATAGTGGAGGGTGTGCAGGGGCTTTTTAACTCATGCTGTCCATCTTGCTGGCGACTTTATGCTCCTGGCTACTAATCACTCCCCACAGGGGCTAAAATACTGAGAGCTCAGTGCATTTAGGTTTTGCTCAATTCTCCCTGGAAGAAGTATCCTAGTAACAGGAATTCCTCCTACTCCTACAAATATTGCTAAGGGCATTTGCCCCATTCTCTCATTTTAGTTCCTCGATAGTGCTGTGAAAAAGGTAAGATGGATAGCACACCCCTTTAAGCAATAGGGAACAAGATTAGGGGCTGTGTTTAAATTAAGAGAGCGGCTGATGGTCTTGCTCTGCCAGCCTTTCTCTCTGCCACGTTCCTTTCCACATGGCAGGTAACGCTGGTTTTGCACACGGACACCTTGAGCTATGGTCCCAGCTCCACTGTGGACTCCGGGAAGTCACTGCCCCTTTCTAGGCCTAGAGGAACCCCCTAGGTCTAAAATCTCCTTTTGCTCTTCCAATTCTAAAGTGTCTATAGTTTTGTCTTTCATGCACTTCTCACACCAATGTTTCAAACATCTTTTTTCTCTCCATAGGCTCCGCAGTCTCCAGCACCCCCTGCCCAGCCCCTGCAGCCTGTACCTCCTGCTCTCCCTGCCTTTCCAGGCCTCCTCGGGCCTCCTGTGGGCCCTGCTCATCGCCTCGACACTGACATACTCCTCAGCCTGAGGTGCTGGAAAACGGAAAATGGGAACTGTCTGCAGCCTCTTCGGCTCCAGCCTCCAGGCCTGCCACTCGAGACCTTTCTTCCTCAGCCAGCAGGCAGGAGACTGAAGCCAGGCAGCGTTTCTCTGTCGATGGGCTTTCCAGTTCAGCAGCTCAGTCCCAGCCCCTGGATTTGTGCTTCCTCTCTTCACAGTGCGTGGGGTGTTCTATTTTTCTCTCTTCTGTTGCCTCCTAGTCTCTCAGAGATGTGGCAGGTAACCTTGTTTTTATTTCACTAATAAACTTCGCTTCTGCAGCAAACAGAGCCCAGTGCCTGCTGGTCTTAGTTTCTCCACCCCACACCCCGTGTTGCTGGGAGCTCCCTGAGTCAGCTGTTCCTGTAGAAGCAGGGATTGTGGCTCCCTGACCAGAATGGCTCTGGGAGACGGCAAAGCCAGTGAGGACCATGGTTAAGAATGAGACTGCATTGGAAGAATAAACATAGTTAAAATGTCCATACTACCTAAAGCAATCTACACATTCAATGTAATCCCAGTCAAAATCCCAATGACATTCTTCACGGAAACAGAACAAAGAATCCTAAAATTCATGTGGGGCAAAAAAAGACCCAGAATAGCTAAAGCAATCCTGAGAAAAAAGAACAAAGCTGGAGGCATCACAATCTCTGACTTCAAAACATACTACAAAGCTATAATAATCAAAACAGCGTGGTAACGGTACAAAAACAGACACACAGATCAATGCAACAAAACTGAAAGTCCCGGAATCAAACCACACATCTATGGACAGCTAATCTTCGACAAAGGAGCTAAGAACATACGATGGAGAAAGGAAAGTCTCTTCAGTAAATGGTGCTGGGAAAACTGGACAGCCACATGCAAAAGGATGCAAGTAGACCATTATCTTTTGCCACACACAAAAATTAACTCAAAATGGATCAAAGACTTGAAGCTAAGACCTGAAACTATAAAACTCCTAGAAGAAAATAAGGGCAGAACACTCTTTGACATCGGTCTTAGAGGGATATTTTTGAATCCCATGTCTACTTGGATAAGGGAAACAAAAGAAAAAATAAACGAGTGGGACTTCATCAGACTAAAGGGCTACTGCAAGGCAAATGAAACCAGGATCAAAACGAACAGACAACCCACCAGCTGGGAGAAAATATTTGCAAATCATATATCTGACAAGGGGTTAATATCCATAATATATAAAGAACTCACACAACTGAACAACAAAAAAACAAGTAACTTGATCAAAAAATGGGCAGAGGATATGAATGGACATTTTTCCAAGGAAGATATACAGATGGCCAATAGGCATATGAAAAGATGTTCAACATCACTAATCATCGGGGAAATGCAAATCAAAACTACATTAAGATATCACCTTATACCCATGAGAATGGCTATAATCACCAAGACAGAAAATAACAAGTGTTGGAGAGGATGTGGAGAAAAGGGAACCCTCATTCACTGCTGGTGGGAATGCAGACTGGTGCAGCCTCTATGGAAAACAGTATGGAGATTCCTGAAAAAATTAAAAATAGAAATACCTTATGATCTAGCTATCCCATTTCTGGGCATTTATCCAAAGAACTTGAAATCAACAATCCAAAGAGTCTTATGCACCCCTACGTTGGTTGCAGCATTATTCACTATAGCCAAGAGGTAGAAGCAACCCAAGTGTCCATCGACAGATGATTGGATAAAGAAGATATGGTATATATATACAATGGAATACTACTCAGCCATAAAAAAGACAAAATCATCCCATTTGCAACATGGATGGACCTGGAGGGTATTATGTTAAGTGAAATAAGCCAGACAAAGACAAACACTGTATGACTTCACTCATATGTGGAATATAAACCAACATACGGACAAAGAGAACAGTTCAGTGGTTACCAGGGGGAAGGGAGTTGGTGGGTGGGCACAAGAGGCAAAGGGGTGCATTTATATGTTGACTGACAAATAAAAATGTACAACTGGAATCTCAAAATGTTATAAACTATTATGACATCAATTAAAAAAAATGAGACTGCAGCAAAATGACACAGATGAGTGATACCCAGCTCTTGAGCTGGCCAAGCCTATTTAGAGCCAGAGTCAAAGAGCTTTGAAAATACAGACACTAAATAAAACCCCCTTTTACCTGGATGAAGCCATCTGGTCCTTGTGCAAAGGAAGAGCTTAGGTCAGAGGTTCTACTGGGCCCCCCCTAGAATACCATACTTAAAGTAAGCTTTTGTGATCACATGCCCACTACGAACAAGGATGGTGCTGGGGCTTTACAGACATCGTGACACAGGGTCCCACAAAAACCCTGCAAAGAGGGTGTGGCTGTTGCTATTCTCAGCTGGTGGCTGAATCAAGACTTGAACTCCAGCCTCTTTGAACTAGATCCAAAGCCCATATTTTGGAAACTTTGAAGGAGAAAAAATTAAACACGAGAAGGTTTAGGGCAATGGTTCTATAAATGTGGTCCTCCAACCAGTAGGACCAGCATCACCTGGGAACTTGTTGGAAATGCAAATTCTTGGGCCCCACCTCAGATTTTCTGAATAAGCAGTCTGGTTTATCGAGCCTTCCAGGTGATTCTATGCACACTCAAGTTTGAGAACTACTGGGTTAGGGGGTTTATTTGGGGAGTGAGCCCCTGACTGGCCAGACACTCTGCAGAAGGAGTTGGCCTTACTCCCCCGATAGATCCCCTGGGTGAGGAATCCCCCATGCTGTTGAGATAGCACCTTTCCCCTGCACATTGCAAAACTCTGAACATGATGATGGCAATTGCTGACCCTGTCAGACTACCAGTCTAGAAAAGGCCAATCAAACCGACCCAAACCGACCCAATCTCCCTCACTGGCTCCACTGACAAGTTCTTCGGGCAGCTGCCTAGCTTGGAACTTGCAGGCAACAGACACATGAACCAGAAGCTCCCTATTTAGGCAGCCATGGGCAAGAACAGCATGTCTCCAGAAAGAAGCATCAGAGCTGGCCCAAGATGGGAAGCAGTGAGTTCCCCATCCTTGAAGACATTCAAGCAGGGTGTTTACAACCACCTGGTGGGGATGCTGAGGAGGTTACTCAGGCATCTGATGGGGCTGGATGAGATGTTTGTAGAGGGTCTTCTAGCTCCCAAATTCTATGACTCCCTGCTTTCCAGGTCTATTCATCAGTGAAACTACAATAAACTGACTCTAGGAGCTGGTTCTTGTCTTCCCTCTCTGCTCCGTGAACTCTCTGATTCAGAGTAGCTGCTGAGAAATTTACAAAGTCCAGCTGATGGTTGTTGAGTCCAGCCAATGTGCAGGAGCGACCACAGTCCCAAGCCCCAAGGGTGGAGAGAGCTTAAGCCAGGACCTGGCTGCTGTGCCTCCAACTGCTCTCAAGCCCAGAATCCTACCTGTTGGCTGCTGTCTGTGAAGACAGGACTGATTTGCTTGGGAGGCATCAGGACTTCCACCATAAGAAGCTCTGGAAGGGTCAGAGGCTGTCACACCCTCCCTCCCTTCCCTTCCACTGTGCCTCTGCTCTTTTTCCCAAGTGGTGGAGGTGTTTGGGCACAGGTGACTCATCCCTGAGGCACTTACCCAAGAGTAGGCCCCAGTAAGAAAGAGTAATCTTGGTTAGTCTTAATTTAGCACCTGGCCCAAACACCTTCACCTCTTCCTTTGTACTTAAATAGCTCCTTTCATCCAACAAGTTCAAAGCTGTCTGACAAAATAAACCCACTTATTCTTGCACCATGACAGAGTAGGCAAGCATTGTTCTTCCCATTTAAGGAGAGGGAGAGAAGGTGAGTCATTCGATAGTTGAGGGATTCCTCTGGTGACATGAAATGAGTCAATGGGGCCCTGGGGTGATTGACCTGTGTTTCTTAAGTTTACATGCAATACCCTGACTGTCATTTATAATTAAAAGATTAGCTTTGATGAGACATTGTTTGTATGTGTGTGTGTGTGTGTGTGAAGTGGTTTGTGTTCCTGGGAAGAAATGCTGGGTAGAGGGGATCATGATGCTTGGGGTGGTGTAAAGAGCTTCCCTGGAAACCAAACAATCCATCATTACCATCATCACGACGAGTACCACCA